ATGATTGAATAGTTTTTATTGTTAGATGTTTCCCTTTACATAATACTTTTTTCACCACCAAAACTTGGCATTTATCACATATTTATTCTAAGGATTATAAATATGGAGTAGTTTATTGGTTATTTACTTTAACTTTGGATTGAAGTAAACTGAGTTTTAACCCAGACTTTACCAGGTGTCCTCTTGAGACTGTGGGTAGATTATTAACTTGCCTTGTTGCAGCTTCATCATCTTTAAAACAGAGACAGTAGTGGAACCCAGGTTAGAAGGTTATATGAATTTAATGACAACTGCATAGATAGCATTTAGTACAATGCCTAGAATATGGCAACCATATGGTTATTATTATTACTGTATTGCTGCTACTACTAGTAGTATTACAACTACTGAAGGCTTTAGTTATTTCTTGAAAACTATACACTTTCAATCCTTCACTTTTGAGCTGCACTGATCTTTTTCACCCACGCATGCCTCATAAAAATAGAATAAACACACTTCACATCCATTACATTTCTCGCAGCATGCTTTTTTTCCCTACTCCAAAGAGCATGGTGGAATAGATATTTGCAAAAGTAACCTAAGTGTTACAACTTATTGGCTCTGTTATTTCTTGTATTACTAATAAGCTCTCACATTAGTTCAGTGCTTTAGATTTTTACATAGTGTCAGCTTTACAGGTATTATCTCACTTGTTTCTTAAAACAGCTTTCTGAGGTAGGCAGGGCATGCTTCCCAGCCCCTGATTTTGGGGAGGCGAGGTAACTCATCTATAACTGCATAACAGGGAAGGACAGAGCCAGCGGTTGAGTCTAGGTTTTTTGAATTCATTGTTCTTTCCAGGAAACTAGGCACAGAATGAATCTTTAAATCAATGTGCCTGGGACATTCATTAGTTCCCATTAGTTTGGGTCCATCTGCACAGGTACATGATTGGCAGAGATCTCTAAAAGGGACTCAGTTGCACTTCCAGGTTTTAAACCACCTGTAACGTCTGGGATCCTCATATCCCCCAGTGATCTGGATCTCTTTCATGTAATCCAGTGTGTTTATACTGAGATCCCTAACGCTGCTTCTACAGCATTAAATTGCTCATGTTCAGGAGCGTAGTAGTCACATTTCTGCATTCTTTTGCGATGTACTCCAACCCACCTCCTCTCCTTTATATTGTAATTCACAGGGCTAACCTCCTAGTGGCTTTGTTCGTTCTGTGACTACACCATCCTGGTTCTGTCTGATGGTCCAGGGGTGGACATTTAACCAATAAGATACCCTCTCGTGGTAAAAAGACTTGAAGACCAGAGACAGAAATTTAAGAACTGCATGTGAAATGCATGGGATAGAAATTATCTGTCATTGGATCAGAGAAGCTGAACAGTCTTTTATAACAAGAGAGGGAAGTAGAAGAAGCATTGCAAGACAGTAAGATGAATAAGAGAGAGAAAGATAGAGCTAGAAAGAAAGAATGAATGAAATCTGGCAGGACCCCATTCCCACCTTCCAGCCTCTCCCAGAGGCCTTGCTTCATTACTCTCCCTGTGTTTGAGTCTCTTGATCATTTAAAATCAATTTCCTGCCCCAACCCCTAAACTAACTTAGGTGGGTGTCTGTTACTCTTACAAAAGAACCCTAATTTACATAGGGAGCGATATTCTCCTGATGCAAAATTTACTTTTGAGCTGCAGCCAATGCAGCTTTCAACAGCAGCATTAACTTTCAAGTGTAATGGGCCACCACTGAGTAAGTTTGTGGATTCTGCACAGCCAGGGGTACTCAGAGTACTTAGTATTTCCACCTTGATGTGAACAACCCTTCAGAGCATCCCAGGATCTCTGCACAAGGGGGTACTTATCAAATCAGCTATTGCAATCCTTTGCCCCAATCAGGATCTGTCCTTCCATTTTGCAGCCAGTTTTTGCTTGAAATATTCCATGGCTGGGAAGCAAAGTCTAAGAGTGTGGCCTTTGTTCAGAATCTGCTCTGGACCTTTCTAGCCTTAAAATCTTGGACAAATTATTAACCTTCTGTGAGCCTTCTTTTCCCCATTTGAAAAATGGAGATTAACATTTTTTTTACTTAATGGATTTTTTTAAATGGAAATTTTATGAAGCATACAAAATACATGCTACAGTGCCTAGTCCATATTAGATACTCAATAATTTTATCCACTCTCAGCCTTTGCAGGCAATTCATCAATCATTCTTTACACTGAAATAAGGATTTCTAACTGTGTAGTCTGTAGCATTCCTAATGTAAAGTACAACAGGCAGTCGTGATGACTGATTGTGAAAGCCTGACATCAAATTCTAGATCTAAAGCTTTTGTGTTCTCTGTAATAAGGGAATCTGTGATAACTACCACAGATTCCTTTAAAATGAGGATTTGCACTAATGGACATTTGAGCTTTCTTTGCAATATGAAATATTATGACTAATATTTATACTTCAGGTTTTGATTTTATTTATATTAAATAAATTATAATACTCTCCACTCTAAAGTTCTGTTGGTTGGTGAACAATAAGTACTTCTGCATTCTCTGTGTTATATTTCTTGTGGCAGGGAAATTATTGCCTGCAAAAGAAGCCATTTCGAATTTTGGAAAGATCTAATTGCCAAGTGTCTCTGTGTCAGAAAAAAACAAACAAACAGAACAGTGCTTCAGTCATAGTAATTAATATAGTTCTTCCCTCCCAGTGGTCAGGGGCCCTGGTCCCAGGATGACAAGATTGAGAAGCTGTCCTCTTTTCATGTCAGGTTTGCACTAACTTAGTCATCTCTCCATTTCTTTCTCTCCTCTAATAATCCATGTTAGCTATTCAGCTGCTTTCCTTCATACTCAAGTCCCCAAAGTTTGGAAATTTGTGAAACAGTAAAGGTGAACGCTGTTGGAAATTAAGATTCTGGCTGATTTGGGCTGCATGATTGCCTTAGAAATGATGTTTTCTGCTCATAGTCCGCTGGTTCTGCTTCAGGGAATTGGAGTTTGGCTCCTTGTTTTCAGGCTTGTTCTATTTTACACTCCCAGCTTCCTGCTTCCTGCAGCCTGCCCAGTCTCTGGCTTCCATCCGTTTATGCATTGATTGATGGATTTACTCCTTGAATACCTTCTGAGTTGCCACTACATACAAAATCCTCTGTTAACTTCTGGTCTATAATTCAATGGTAAACAATACCCGAATCTTGCCCACAAGGAACTCACAGTCTCATAGAAGAGGTAAGATACATAGATGCCACCAAAACCCAAAACAGAAAGACTTAATAGTACAGCTCAATATTGTTCAAACCACAAACCGCAGCCTATTAGCTGGTCATGGAATCAGTTAGTAGGTCATGACTGGTACTTTTTAAATATAAATAAATAAATTGAATAAAAAATATTGAAGTAAATCACACAGTAAGGATATATGTTGTTTAGAGAAACTTTTACCTAAATTATAATGAAGTTGTGTGTGTGTGTGTGTGTGTGTGTATCCATCCATGGTCTAATGTATAATTTTTTTGTTTTTTACTGTGAAACACACTCAAAAGTTTGATGAACACTAAAATTAGGACAGAAACAGGTAGAGAAATGCTTCTTTCTCAAACAATGTGCATATGAATCAGGAATCTTGCGCAGGTGAAGACTGTGGTTCAGTTTATGTTGGGATCTCAGATCGTGTTTCTGGCAAGCTTCTTTATGATTCTGTTGCTGCTGGTCCACATAAGGACATAGAGTGTGAAACAGAGAGACTATTTCCAGTGGAAGACCCGAGGAAGCCCCTGAAGCCATTTATTTGTGACTTTGAGTCTCCAAGGAATAAAACATTTTCCTTTCCCTTTCTGGTTTTTGCTTTTGATTGATTGATGGAAAACCTAACCTTCCCCCAGTTTTCTCCAAAGGCTGTTGCTGTCCAGCTCCCGGGTGCTGAATGTTGAAACCAAGGGACCAGATAAGCTTCAGATCAGTTGTGAGAAGCTCCACTGTTGTCTTGGAGGGTTAGCCCCCAATTTCCCAAGTGTATTTCAGACACTTGTGCCCATGCAATTAATAGCAGAGTCCTTCCCATAAAGCAGGCTTTTAAGAACAGGGACAGAAGAGTTTCATTTATTTCAGCTTTACCTGCCAACACATTTCATTAGGCTTCTATCACCTGCATCTAGTTAGCTGCCTTGACTTCCTCAGGTTCCTCTGCCTGCAGTTCCTATCCTTTCTTCTCTCCTCCATCATCTTTCCCCCTTCTAATACATCCTGCACAGGGATATATTGATTATCCTAAAACAAAGCTTTCATTTTCTTTTACTGCTTAAAACCCTTCAGTGGCTCCCCATCACTTAGGCAAGCTCTGCTCCTGCCAAACATGTTTGCTGTTCTTGTAACCTGTCCTTCATACTTCATTTTGACCTCTCTCCCTCCCCTTGGATGATCTCACTTTTCCAGATATCTGAATCCTGCCTCCTTTTTAGGATTTTGCTTCAATCCCACTTTATCCATGAAGCTTTTTGCAGAAACCCCTTTTGTTCATGGCTCACCACAGTACTGCTGAGTATAATTTGTATACTGGGGTGTGGCAGGAAAAGCACAGGATTGGCAGTAGGAGACCAGACTAACCCAAAATGGATGTGTCTGTCCAAACTGGGCATGTGTGACCTTGGGCAAGCCATTTGTCTTCTCTAGGGCTTCCATTTCCCCATTAAGATAATTAGAAGATTGGAGACAAAGCTCGCGTGGTGACTACACATGGTGCCCACAGCAAGCTTTGCTGGCTTATAAGTTTCCTTAGGGACCACATTTTCTATTAAGAGATTTTTAAAAAATTTAATCATGTTTCTGTTAGTATTGAACTATTACCCATCTTTTGAAGTGTCTTCTAATTTTAAAATTCTCACATGTATTTGTTTTGTCTTTTTTATCCTTATCAGGAAGGAGCCTCATTTTATGGTTGAAGCAAAGAGGGCCCAGGGAAGGCCTGCCTAAGGGCACGTAGAGCAGAGACTACAACACAACTCTAATGAGGGAGGGCCAGATGATCCAGGACATCGTACAGCGTCGCTCAGAGTGAGTGCTCACTAATTATTTGTCAATTGATTGGAGGTTGTCAGGCCCACCTTGCAAGACAACTCATTTCTCCCTGGAAGGAGGAGCCCCTAGGAGTGAGTCTGTTGGTTAACGGGAAAAGTGCTTGCTCTGGGAGGAAGGCGGGGCACGCCGGAACAAGCTCTCGCTGGGAACCCGCATACTCTCTCGCTGGTGTTTCTGAACCCCATTCTTCGCAGGGAAGAGGTGAGGGGGTTCAAGGATACTTGGAGCCTGTCCCTTTGGCAGAGACACATAGCCACCTCGCGCCGCTGCTCTGGGCTGATCCTTCAGAGTGGAGCGCCCTCCCACCCCCAGCCCCGCGCTTCGCTCAGCTCTGCAAAGGGAGGGGGAGCTGGGGGAGCCCTGTACACTAGTCTTCCCAGGGCTGCAGACCAGGAGCCCCTTGCTCTCGGGAGGCTCTCGGTGGCCTCCCCTCTGCTGCGTGGGTGTGCGGGCTCTCCCTGCCACCCCCACCCACGGCTCACCCTCTCTCCCTCCCTCCAGCCCAGCCGGCCGGAGCGCGCACACCGGGGCTCCGGCACGTGGGCGCGCGGGAGGCGGCGGCTGCTGCTGCCGCTGCCAGAGCCCAAGCCCGAGCCGGCGAGATTGCCCTCCATGCTGCAGGCTCTGCGGCCGCCTTCCGCTCAGCCTCTGGCCCAAGCCCAGACGGGCTAGCCGGCGAAGCAGCAGAGGGGAGGAGGATACGGCCAGGAGGAGGGGCGCGGCGGGCCGGGACGATCCGGGTTCTGAGCTAGGGGCGCCGGCAGCCGGGAGGAGGCTGCCGGCTCTCTCGCTTAGTCTCTGTTCCTGCCGCTGCCAGGGGTTCCAGGCTGTGCGATGCCGCTGCGCTCCTTGTAAGCGGCGGGCAGTGGAGGCTTCCCGTAGCCGCTTGGCCCACGCTGGCCCCCATTCCACGGGCAAGTCCCTTGCCTGTTCCTACGCACCCGGCCGCAGGAGCCCAAGCGAACACGAAGTCCGAAGTCCGCCCCCAGCACCGCCGCCAACTTCCCTGGGAGCCCCTCTCCCCGCAGCAGCCTGTGCCAGCCCTGGGAGCCATGCGCCCCCACCCGGGCGGCGCGTCCTCTGCCAACTCGCCACCCATGGGATCGACTGCCCTCGGCTGCCCCGCTTGGAGCGCGTAGCCTTCACCGCGTGGCAGGGGAGAGGAGCAAGACACCCAAGGCGTTTCGCAGATCCCGCACGTGCGCGTGTCAGTCTGCTGGGGTCCCCTTCGGGGGCGGCGTCAATACCCAAGGGTGAGTAGCCGCGTAGTGGAGGCGCCTTTTACCCCCAGCTAGGAGCTTGCAGCGATGGCTGGGAGACAGGAGAAAGTTGAGTCTCCTTGAACCTATACTGGGATTTGGCACCAAAATGTAACATTTGTTCTCCCAAGCCGGTTGCCTTCAGGGCTTCCCTGAATGCCTTTAATTCTAAACCAAGGAGATCTTTTCTGCTCCCCAAAGAGAAAAAAGGCTCCCTAGAGCAGACCACTGACTGTTCCCTAACAACACGCCATTAGGGCTGAAAGCTGCCGGCGCGATAAGCAGGCACCCAGCATAAGCGCTTGGAGATCCGTAGCCACCTGGGCGCTCTCTGAGATCACGGGCAGCCAGGGCCCCTAGGGGAGGCTAAGCTCCCTGCATTAAAGAGAGTGACTACAGAAATAGTAAGGAAGTGTGTGACTGTGAGCAGAAAAAGTAGCCATAGGAGAAGGCGCGAGTGAAATTTATCTGTCGCTGATGGAGCGTGTACCCTGGGTGCCCAGCTCCGTGGTGTAGGTTTGGGGGCGCATGGTTTAGGGCAGACAGAGTCCAACAGGTGACTTGCTTGGGCTTCCTGTGGCTGGCACTGGGGATGGTGACCACTCCCTCCCTGCTGCTGCTTCTAGGGGCGCATCTGAACATGAGTTAGGAAATGCGCTCTCTGCTCTCAGGCCTGATTTGGTGAGTGTGTGAGGCATCCAAATGCCTCCTGTCGGAAAACAGCGGCCTCATTGTGTGTCTGACTGAGGTTTCAACTTGCAGGCAACTGAGGGGCCATTCAGCTGGGGCGATGGGGACTTGGCTGGTCCTCAGATGCAAGCCTCAGCCTTCTTCATGGTCCCTGGCTGCGGGTATGTGAGCTCCCTGGGCTGGGCTGTGAGCCAAACCTCAGCATTTCGCCTCTCTGTACTCTACGAAGGGGAGGAGGCATTGCCGAGCTCTAGCCGCTGTGGCCTGAGTTTATTCTTCATCCTGAGATTCAGATGGAGGGACGGGGGTGTGTGTGGGAAGGGTGTGTACACGTGGCATGCACATTTGAGTGTGAGGACAGGTGGTTTTTGAGAGCTGGCCAGAAGGAGACCAGAGAAAGACAAAGTTCTGTCCCTGCCAACTGAGATTCAAATTGGGAGAGGGTGTGGCTGCACTTTGAAAAAGTTTCTTCTGAACTCGACATTCTTGGGTGAGTTTGAGTGTGCAGGACACTCCGGACCCTGGTCGTGGTGGCACTCCGGAGTAGCATCTTCAAGGTCTGCTGCAGAACCCCTCTTTCCCTCAGTTTGCCCATCTATAGATTTGGGGACAGGTATCCCTGCTCATGGCAGAAATGCTGGTGTCTCGGTAAAGGAGGTACTTAGAGATGGGTGTCGGGTTGGAAGA